TCAAGACGGACAGGGGGGAAAATATGAAACTTAAATTCGTCATGACAGACATCTCAATGAATGGGACCCCCGGAAAAATGGATTTGTAAAGCAAAACAAACATAAAAATTACCGCTTCTTATTCATTTTTTTTATGTTCTTTTGACATTTATGCGAGTTTGTTTGATTTAACCGGCAGGTTCCTGTATGGAATAACCAACATCCAGTGTTCTACACTGGAAGTAAGTATTTATATGAAAAGAGAGACAGGGTTTCCTCACAACACACAATGGAGTAGACTTACTGACTGGCTGGGATTAAATTTAATACAGGATCTTGACAGACATATCCTGGAAGCACACTGCTCTCTCTGCAGATTTCCTAGGAGCAAAGCTTACATGTTTTTTCTTGGATTTGCCTCATTAATTGGCTAGTTAAGTCCCTATAATCCAAGATGATCACTTACTTGTATGTCTTATAGCATTTCTTTAAGCTCATATGTGCCGTTGCCTTTGTTGCCTCAATACTCCGCAGCTTTGACGTTAACTCAAAGTTTCGAGTGGCACCATCGGAAGCCTCCTTTTTAAAGCGAATAAAACTGACAGTGTGATGTCTAAATACAGAGAAGCTGGTGTGCATAGACGAAGTATACACAGGTAAACGGCTACAGCAGAAAGCCAGCTGCCTTCCTATGGATTGTCACTTTCTCTGACATGTGGAAGAAGACGTCTCTTCTATTATCTTGAGCACATGATCTGGATTATTTGGTGACACACAAACGCACGTCTCTCGTCTGTCGTGAATGCCCATCCATCTAGCTCTCACTGCGCAGCGCCTAAAGGCCATATCATGAGCCGGGCCTTGTGATAAAGAGCCAGGTAGCGGTGGAGGGAGGAGGTGGTGGTGGTGGTGGTGGTGGGGGTTGCAGACTGTCAGACTGGAAGGGCAGGCTTCAGCCGGAGTCTTCCTCTGTCTGCTCCGTCTCTTTCAGTGCACTTCTAGCAGCTGCCGACCTGTCCTTTCCCAGAGGGCTTTGTGAAAGGACAGAAACGTGATGCTGCTACTCAGACGCAACTCGTGGTGGAGTCTGTCTGCAGTGGCCATGTTGCATCTCCCTTCTATGACTGCCCCCCCTCCCCTCCTTTACCTCTTATTTTTTTCCCTGAGCAGAGAGACTTCAGGCGCCAGGCGCGGTGTAACTGCAGTCTCAGGTATGCCGGGCGGACGTTGCAGCCACCTTCCCAGGCCTTCACCTGCACCTGAGACTGAGTGACGCGGGAACTAGAATCAGCTATTCCTCAGGGAGGGCAGCTCAGAGCAAGACAGTGCATCATTCATAAATCAAGTGCTCCATAAGCGAAGATGTGAAGGAAACCGGCTTTTCATGTGTTGTCTTATAGCTTACAGCCAAAGTAAATGTAACCTCACCTGTCATTTCAATCTTAGTCTTTAAAAAAAAAAAGGGCGTAATGACACAAACTTCAGAAGTCAGACTTCAACCTGGTGCGACGTTAACACATTCAACCTGTCCAGTATGAATATTTTGTACATTTAAAAACTCTGTGCAGTATTATTTTCTCTACATATTCCAAAATCTGTGCAATATCAGTATTTCTACTCATCGAAGAAATTGGACTACACCACTGATATGTGCAATATTGTTATTTTCCACATCCAGATTTTTTTTTCTGTGCAAAATCTGAATATTTACTCGTGGAATATTAGTACTTATGTATATTATTTGTTGATTTTTACTTTCTACTGTTACCTACATGTTCCCCCCCACATCTCCTTGGCTGCAACGCTGCAAATTTCCCCACTGTGGGATTAATAAAGGCTTATGTTATCTTATTACACAGCTTCTGATTTCAGCTAATAGCCAAAGAGCTGTAACAGGTCCTCTGAGTATTGCAGCTTTTTTGGATCATCATTTTCATTTATAAAAAATCAACAACAATACAAAAAATGTTGGTTTCCGATGTGAGGATTTGCAGCCACACTTCGTCAGATGCAACAGAAAACTGGGCTTTTGGTTGTTGATTGGCAAACAAGACATTTAAAGGCATCGCCTTGAGCTTTACGAATTTTTTAAATTGGCATATAGACGTATTTTCACATTTTTAAACTCTCTACACTTGATCAGTTAATTGAGAAAACCAAAATATGAATTAGTAGTGAAAATGATCATCACCTGCAGCCTTAAAAGTATGAATAAGCAATTTCATGCAGTACTTTAAATTGTACTATTTTTTGCCCTTCATAAACATTGTTTGAGATGTTTCACTGGGATACAGATATTTAAACACAGAGGCATTCACTTCCTACACTTTTCCACGTCTTGTTCCTCTTTCCTCCGAATGTTGTGGCATTGTCATGTGTAAAGGCTTAGGATGATTACAAAATAATTTGAAAATAGAATAAGTACGCAGAGCCTAAGTTGAGGTTTGCTCCATCTGTCAACATATGACAGCTGCAGAGCAATTTTCATTGTGGTACCAGTGGTTTTGTGGTAAATGTGCGCTCTCATTTATCTAAAATACATCCTAAGCTGTGGCTGCCGCTTCATTATTCGAGCAGGCCGCATGGGTTACAATGTGCATTTGTTCCTAAATGAAAAATCTTTGCCGAAATTTGACTGACTTGAGTGCATATGTTTTGAGGGAGGAAAAAAAAAAAAAAAAAAGGGGCTGCACGAGGCTTTGTGGTGGTGTGGCAGAAAGAGTGTGTGTCTGGCACAGAATGAGGGAAAGAAACAAAAAGGAGAAGAGGAAAAGAGAAAGTTTGCTGTTTTCTTAAATATTTGCAAGTGTTTTTTTAAGGTTTGCTCCACCTTTTCAATGTCAAACCGCTGTTATTGAAAGCCATCCATGCTGAAAACACAGACACGAGAAAACAGATGCTGTACACTAACCCCAGCTGTAGCTTCAAGGCACCGTTCTAAAGAAGGAACTGCATACTTTTTTCAAATGTCTGTGTACAACAAAGAGGCTTGCGCAAGCCCTGGGACACCAGGGGGAAATTATAAGTCCACCGAATCATTTATGTAAGTTAGTTTTAAAGTTCACATCAATCAAAACTTCAAAAAGTCTTTTTTGCTCTTCATACCTTTAATTAAAGTGCCACGTTGTTGGAGTTTGACAATAAAATGATGAAGTTAGAGTTTGGAGCCAGTACACTGACATGTGTGCATGTGAAATTAACGTGGAATGAAATTTTCACTTCCACCCAACACATGACCCTAAAACCCACTTTCTTATGGATAAAATGTCACTTATACCCAAATGGGAAACAGTGTAAAAACTTTTTTATTCAGTTAAAACGTGTTCAATTACTGCTTTTTGTTTTCGGCATACAACATGCTCCTAAATGTCCCTGACACCACAACCTTAGATACGGCTTATTTCCCATATTTTCCTGCTATTGTTTGCAGCTCCAGTACGACGAGCTGGTAGACTGGACTTGTGACGTCAGTTTGGCTGCTGCAAAGCCAGATACAGTTATTGACTGACCGCTACCTGTAATTGTAAAAACCACATATGGAAAATAGTGTATATTCACATTTATTTTACTACTAGAAATCTTTGTCAT